ATGCTCAAAACAGAACTTTTGCACTTGTTCGGCTTTGTGTCTCAATATTTCGAGATGTATTATGATAAAATGTAAAATTGGTTTATATTAGTTAAGTTTGATGAATCAGTTAAAAAAAAATTTGTTTGCAGAACATGCTTTCATTGAAGGTTTTGGTTGCGGTTGACCTGTCTGAAGAAATGCCCATATATATTTAGATGCATTTTATACAATTTCGGTTTTTGTTAAAATTTACCCCCACTTCTAAATCTACTCCTTCACCAAGGCGTACTTTAATTACTAGAGACTTTTGCTGTGACACATACACGAATTTTAACCAATCTCCAAACTTCATGGAGATAGTCCATCGACAAGAAAAGTTAAACAATCAAGTTACATACCCTGATTTCCCATTTACAATGGGTTCAGGGTATCAATATACTTTAGATATGGATAACTGCTGTTACCTACATATATCGAAAAGCTTAAAGCTTTTAACTGTCAATGATTATATGCATTTGATTGCATCAGACTGCATCTTTCCTTATTCTTAGTAAATATTTTACTTACCATCACAATTTCCAGTACCAGCATTCAATGTATATCCCGTGCCACAAGATGTCCAACGCTATGAAATTTTTATAAAAGTATTTTTAATTGGGTGCTTTAATGGAAACGAAAAACAAATTGAAGTACCGTGCATATATATGACCCGATCGTGTTATCGCATCTTTGAGTTGGGAGGCAGTTGTGATTGTTAATTGAGCATTCATTTATATCTGAAGTAAGTGTGAAAACGGATGGTGCTTAGCGTTTGACAGCTACATATGTACATATATGATATGAAAATACTAACCAACGCATTTGTTCTGCGTTACATCCAAGCTATAACCAGGCAGGCAGTTGCAGTGGTAACTGCCCACAGTGTTCTTGCATTCCTGGTGCAAATCGTTTCTGCAAGAATTGGTCGTACTTTGAGCACACTCATCAATATCAATGCAGCTGCCATTTTTTAAAAGAAAGCCTGTGCCACATGTTTCACTGCTAATAAGATTACAGTCGTATCCTCCTGGATAATTTGAGCATTTATATCCTTTCTCACATGGCGACTGGATGCACTCATCATCGTCTATTCGATATATTATAATAGTCGTAAGGGTTTCAAATTATGTGCCGATAAAAAAAGTAAGAAAATATTGTTTAAAACAAAAACAAGTAAGAAAGCTCTAGTCGAGACTACTCGACTACGAGATCTCCTGAACCCTTCGAGCAATAACTATTTCATTCATTTTTCGCGTCTTTCTACTTACACAATACACACGCACAGACACACACAAACACACACACACCCGCACACACACACACACACACGCACGCACAGATTCCTATTTGAAACAATCGCGAAAACATTTTCATTATGCGCACCAACGCACAGTTGGACCTTTGCTC